CCCCGCCCCCCTTTCCTCATGACTGATGGAGAGGTCAACTGTATGTGTAATATTAATCTGTGGTGTGTTTGACCTCACTGCATGGTTCAGTCGAGTTTAGTTTTATGGCAAGTCAAAACAATTAACACTGAACCTCACCATAATGCATTATTCAGGAGTCTTTTACTACTGACCTTTACTACTCTGCCACCTCATTTTGGGGAAAATCCAAAGAAACTGGGTGGTATACATCGATAAGGTGGCAAAATGTTGAATGATGGAAAACATGACTGTCTTTTAAGGCACCTCCCTCTCCTTCATTGCATTTAAATACAATGAAAGATTGAATATAAAATCCATATAGGATTTCAATCATTCATTTTTTTTAAATCTGTATTTTCCTATTGAAACATTTAATTTTTGCAATTTCAGTTTTGAGTGTTAACACTTGGATATGGATTGTATTGATGCATGAAATCTAAGCTTGTACTGTACTGAATAATCATCAGTAGTTGGTCTGTATCTGTGCATGTTCTATGATAGATAGACTCAGACCACTTTTATCATAATATGTGGGAAATATATACCATCTCCTCTTTGATAGAAAAAATGAACTTGAAAAAAAAAAAATATATATATCACGACATAAAAGCTGAACATCATGTCTGTGAACCCCACACCCCTCAATGTTGCACTCGGGGGCTGCATACTGCACTTGTTTCATGTAGGGAGTGCCACTTTTCCTGAACTTTCCAGAATTCAGGAACTTTGGAAAGATGTAAACTTTATATTTTTATTTCTTGTACTTTGTTTTGTTTCCCTTTTCATTCATGTGATGTCTTCATGTCTTCATGTCATTGCGCTTATGCTGCAGTATGTTCTGGAAGTCTATTTAGATCTAAGTGGCACTCCTACTCCTCTCCTTACATCCCCTCTCTTTGCCCTGTCCTGGGAACCCGGACCTGTATTCTCTCTTTGCAGACCCTGGCGGCCTTTTTTTTTGCTTTTGTGTTATATGTGGCTTTCTCATGAACTTATGACCCTTGAGGTAGAACTTGCTTTGCTCACTTACAGGATTATCAGGTAGAAAAGATTTGCAAAATTAGTTAAAGTTTGATTTTTCAGATATGTCCCTTCCAAAATCAGTTGATTTGTATATCTGCACTTAATTTTTTAAATCCAAAGATGTGATAAACAAAAGCTGAAGGTCATCATAAAATTTATTTTTGTGGTTGTTTTACTGAGACAATAATCATGAGATATCATCTTCCTGCTTCATTTAGCTGCGAGTTATAATTTTTCTTGAGCTTAATAGAGTGCTGCCATGATTGAAGAAATGTGGCCTCATAAATGATATGGCAAATATTCATCTTTTCAGCAAGCATACACGAAAAGCTCATTTGGGGCTGGATAAACATTAGTCCTTGATGCCACTTTGCTCTTATGTTACTGCTTTTTCTCCCAACCTATGCATGATGAACCGACCGCTTGTACCTTTTGCCTCGCAAAATTTTCATATTATCATCTTTACCTTGCCTTTCCCTGCGTGGTCAATAACTATGTCCTGCCCATGTTTCAATCCAATCCTTCAGCCCGTAAGCGCACAGATAGCTTCTCCAGTCTGGGTTCAATAGACACCATTGAAGGCCTCAGCCTTGACTTCCAGATGGCCATACGTCTTGGGGAGGAGGCTATTTCCTCTTCTCCCCGAAACAACCCGGAAGGTAGACACCAATTCCTCGCTTACCAGATGCAACTCCTTCTCTGTGGAATTGTGCCACGCAAAAAGCCAACAATCACTCTAGTTTCTCTCTGTGTGCTCAACGTTGCATATCTCTATATATTTCTAGTTTTATAGTTGTACACTTTATCTAGTGCATGCTGCATCTAATGTAATCCCTTTCAGTGACAATGTGTGATCTTTTGTATGATTTGATCCCACTGTTACTCGCTCTAGCTTGAGTCTGAGATACGTTACAGCTTTGATGTCTAAGTGGAAGCTGGTATTCATCTTTGCTTCACCAGGACCTTATGGAATGGGATTTCAGATTTTGTGTTATGGATATAAGAATATGCTGAGATGTGATGCTTTGAAATTGTTTGATGAATGGCACATTTATGATTTTTTCACATTGTTTTGGAATGGTTTAGATGAGGGTATTGGTGATGGGCGCCTGTTTGTTGAAGTTTATATGTGCCATAGCAAAAGAAGTGGTATGCACCATCTTTCAATTAAGTTTTCTTTCAATTCAATGTAAGACCGATTAAGGAATTTTTCTCTTATGATCTTCCTGCCAAATTGCAGGTCCTTTTTTAAATGCCATTTGAGCATTTTTATTGGTTTAATTGGTGTTCAGTTTGCCAATACTTAACTACAAATTTACTGCTTAAGTTCAGAGGTATTCTGACAAAAGATCAAAGAAAAATTACCAGTAAAGTGAACATACACAACATTCAAGGTTAACAGTTTTGCATTGTAACAGAAATTTACCGATATATTTTGGAAATGTTAAAGGATTGATAAGTCATGAAAGCTGTAAAGCTGAATTTTTCTCACTTTTACTCAAGCTGATCTGCGCATATGTAGCATGGCTAACTGCTGCTTTGTATCATAGTTTGTTAGAATAGCTGATTAACAATAATTTGTAGCTTTAAAAATGTTGTTTGTTTATCATCCAACAAGGAATGTTATTTGTACACAATTCTTATATTCCTGAATAATTGTTCTCACTGTTTCTACACACTTATATTGATTTTAGTTGTATTCCAGTTCCCCTGTCTACCCATGTGTTTTGAATCCCCAAAGTGCAAAAGTATACTGAAATGATACACCCCAGTAACAGTTGTGTTTGTTTGTTTTTTCATCCCACTTGATTGATTTAGTTGTTCCTGCCTCAACAGTCTTATGCCCCTTTTGTTATAACAACATAACGTCTAAAGCTTTATTCTGTAAAAACATTCTTGCTAGTTTTGACCATCAGTAATCATGTAGGGTTATTATCCTAATAACAGAAATGAAGTCCTTTGTAAAATCTTGTTTGGTAGTTAGGAAATAATGGCTAAGATGGCTAAACATCCATTAACCATCTGCTTTTTATTCTTTTGACTTTTTAAAACACCCCAGTGCAGATAATTATGTTCACATTATGTGTTTAGATCAAAGATCAAATATGTCTTTTGGTATTTTTGGTCTCTGTTTCGTTTTTGTTTTTTTATCTCCGCTTTGTAAGCATGATATTCACCCAGTATGCTGAACTATTTTTTAGCTTTATATTGTAGTATTTTTCTACTTTCACTTTTATGCTTGTTATAAGTAGATAACATCAAATTAATGTCTGACTGTTGTTTGGTTATGTTTAAAACCTAAGGTACTGTAAAAAGATAATGGTTACTTATCTTGAATGAATCAGTTTAAACAGAGAAAAGGATACAAGTTTCATCAATAAATTCTTATTTCTAAATGCATAACTTCAGCTTGGTGTACTGAAAAATGTGAATTCTTCTAAATGTGTCTAATACAATCTATATTTCATATCTTTATCCAGTACCATAGTTATTGAATCTATGCCAAACCCTCTTTATATCTTGTACGTTGATAACATAGATATCCAGTTAGTGTGCTTCCTGATTTCTGAATTTGAGTATGTGGCAAGAGAGTATAGCTGTAACAGATTTTGGATATCGTTTCAGAAATGAAAGAAATCATTGAATTTAATCATTGCTTTCCCCAGTTGCCTCAGGGTACAAAAATGAAATGGCTCTGTTTGTGGAGCGGATGAGTAAGATGGCCGTGGAGACCCCTGAGGATGGTGATGGTCAACTAGATGAAAGTGTGAGTAGCTTGTCACTTCTGGGCTCGGACACCAACTCTGACACGGGTTCTGTGATCCAGCACATCCGCTCCGACTCGAGGGACTCGAGATCTGGCTCTGAAGCAGGTTCTCTGAGTCGTAAAGACGGCAAGCAGATCGCAGCTGGTGCTACTGCTTCAGGTCTACGCAGCTCAAACAGTAGACAGCCAGAGACAGTCCCTGAGATGACGGGAGATTTTGCTGTGTCTGAAGAGATCACTGTTCCCGTGGATACGGTACCTCCTCCACCCGAGTTTGGTGATGCAGGTGAAGACAAAACTAATGAGAGTGTTGAGGATGAAGAGGAATTCTTCACTGAAACGATTGAAGAAATCATCATTCCTATGGGTCCTAATGGGTTTGATTTTTCTGCAGCTAAAAAAATCCCAGATGTAGACACCCCCAAAGAGCATGGACCTGAGTCACCAAGAGAAAGAAAGACCAGCACTGGTGTGTTTCGTGCAGAGCCAGTTGCTGTGGCTCCAGTGTCTGCTGTAAAGACCAAGAGCTCAGCTCCTGAGATTAAACCCAAACCAACAGGACTGAAGCCAAAAGAGCAGCTTCCGAAAGAAAAAGAGGAATTTGTGCTAACAACTGAAGACTTATCTAGTGTCACTTTCTTGCCTCCAAGGCCAAAAGTTGCAAAGGTTCCTGTTGAAACACAGCCTTCCACTCACGTGTCGACTACATCACTTGTGATGGAGAAGCACCGATCAGCAGCCACTCCTAGCTCACATCGATATTCAGAAGAGCCAGAGTATGGCAACGTCAAACAACATGTGTCACACATCAGCTTCAAACCAAAGACAGAAGCAGAAAATGACTCGGTGCTGGAAGAAAAGCCCATCACTTTGCTCAATATGCCCAGAATGAGACCTAGCCCTCGAGAGGAAAATGTCACCTCTTTCTCTGATGACAGTCGTTCGGACTCAAGCAGCGATCCCTTCACCAGTCGGTCAGCTCCACGCCTTTTGGTAAATTCCCTCTCAAGCTCTCAGAATAGCGACCGCAAATCGAGTATCAATGACATGGAGGATGGCAGTTACAAACCCGTACAGAATGGTCAAGGGTCACCAACGGTGGATCGGAACAGAAGGGGATCAAAAACCTCTTCTCACAGGTAATGTGTGTGTTTGTGTGTGTTGCTTGTGTGTTTTTGTATGTGTGTGAGTGTGAGTGTGAGTGTGTGTGTGTGTGTGTGTGTGTGTGTGTGTGTGTGTGTGTGTGTATTTGAATATGAGTAGATCTATGTCTCTTTGTTTTGTTATTTTGAGTTCCCCAGCTACATTTCAGTGTAGAGCAAAGGAAGAGAGTTTGATTTCCAAATGGTGAAAATTTGTTTTCAAATGTCTTTGGTCTCTGGTTTCTGGTCTCTGTGTTCTATTCTGATGTATACTACACAGCTTTGTTTAGCCCCAACTGACCGAATTTAAAACACCTCACCTCCTTCATGGCTTTATGGTGTTGTAAAACATACACAGCAAGTATTACTACAAATTGGGAATTGTGGACTTAAAACTTTTCAGCTGAGAGTGTGACTGATTCTTATGCGTGTGACCTATTTTTTGCTCTAAGTCTTAAAATGACTGATAATATGATAATGCCAACAGGTTATTACTTCCAAATATGCTGCAAATGCCCTTTTTGAACTTTTCCCAGTTTTATGTAAGACTTTAGACTTCAAAATTAACATTTGTGAGTTAAATTCAAGTCTCTGTGGGCTGGGGTATTCTCTCCTCAGAGAAGGTATGTTATCCTATTTTCTCAATACCTCACGGCTAGATGAGAATTTGGCTAAGATTTCTTATATGTCTTCAAGAGTTCCTAGGTACTTTATAACTGGTAGGAATTGAAGAGTGATATTATAGCAGGGGTGTACCTAACAGGCTACAAAGCCCTATGTTTGTTGGGGGTCCAAGGTTCTTCTCGCATCCTTGCTATAGCTCAAGGAGTAACTAACTGTAAAGTCACAGTGCAGTTGAGTTTACGTATATATTATATGGCTGTTTTATTTTTTAAAAGGTACTCAAGACATCATACTGACTTGAGTGGCTTCTCTTTTGGGTAGGAATTGAATTTAAAATTTGCCTGTATGGTAACAGCAAGGACCTATTCATTCAGTATTAGAACTGCCTAGGGTTCTTTAACATGTTAAACTTCCATGCAGGGCCTCTGAAAGTTTTCATCCTTATCCGAGAAGACAAAGTGCTTTATCCTTCTTAGCCTATAGTCAGGAGGTGTAGAAAACGAGAGGGGAAAAAATGATGCTGTTGGACATCAAACAATAAATCTCTGGGTTGGAATGCAAAGAGACTTTTGAGACTTTTGGGCACTTTTGTATTCTGCAGTGTAGATCAAAGAACATTCCACCAGGAAGGATTAAGCTGTCATGAATAATTACTTTAATTGTCTTTGATTTGTAAAACCAATTGTTTTATGAATTCTCAGTGACCTGGGGGTTTATAGATTTTCTCATTTCCTCCTAATATTACAGAACTATTTGGGTTTAATGTGAAAATCTTACAAAAAGGATGCAGTAAGCATTGCTTTATTTTTATCGCTGTACTTCTTTTGCAGTTTAGATGCAGTAGAGCAAGAAGAGGCGTTCCAAGCTGAATATCAAACGCTACAGTCCCAGCTGGATATGTGGCAGGAACAACTGGCCCGAAACCAGACCCTGCTGGCCTCTCAAGACGTGGGGCCTGATGTGCAGACAGGTCACCTCAAACAGCTGACGGAGCAGATGGCCATGCAACAGAAAATGATGCAGCAGCTGCAGAACAGCATGCAAGCTTTACAGGAACAGAAAGGGCAGTCGAATGGACATCAAGAGAATGGGTGAGACAGAGTTTATTTGTTGACTCAGATTCAGTTGCTTTGTGTCTAGTGCAGAGAGTGGTTACGGAGGAGATCTGGTCTGGTCAGTCCTTTTTATCTTCTCTGCAGTATTGCTATTGTTTTAATTTGTTCCTGGGAAAGTTTGGCTATTATTATACTACCTCATCTTGAGGTACAACTCAAATAATAGCAGCAACTAACTTCTGATGAAACTTGGAAAGATTATTCTTGTCAGTTCTTTCAGATTTCTTCTCTGCCCTTAACACTTACAATACCGAAGGCTAATATATTGAAAAACCCTCAAGTACCGCACCAGTTTACAACACTGAAGCCCTGATAGAATTTTTTTTAATTAAAAAAACCTTGGCAGCCCAAGAAATACGCTTTAAAAATTCATAGAGGTTTATCTACCATTCAGCTATCATATAGAGTGACTTCTTTTGATATTTACTTCAGTGCAGTATGTCCGTTCATTATTTGATTATGATTAGTGTGCCTGGTCGTGTTGGCGACTGAAGTTGCAGCGGTAATGAGCGCATTCTACAGCCTGGCAACTAAAGTCACTGACAGTACTGTAAGTGTTAAGAAAACATCGTTTATCTTAGGTCTGCTGATTTTTTTGGTGTTTTACTCTTAGTGTTTTGGCTGTATAGTTATTTTGGCTATAGGTGTATTAGTTCACTATCTTTCTTGGATAGGCATTCGTTATCAATGTTTAAATTTATTTCTTTTTTTGACGATCTGAAATAGACATTTTGTACCACAGTAATGTAAAATTTAGCTGCTGCTTTTTATGAGAAATGTCCATCTTCCATTTAAAAGTATTTTAAGTTGTGAATTTATAAGTTAACAAATTTTTAAAAATTTGTTTATGGGGTTGCTTGTTTTGAAAATAATGTCTGCTTTTGTTTTTCATTTGATCGAAGAAAACGATTATATGTGAAAGTTTTGGCTTCAAGCCGGATTTAGACTTCTCAAATGTTTTTCTCCTTCACCCAATGCTTCTATAGAGGACAAATTGTTTTGCCTTCAAAATAGATTAAATTTGATTAGCCCTTTAAATTTAATCATTAAAGATGATTTTTGCTTATTTTTTGCTTCAATTCCAATAATAAAAATAACAACAATGACTATATTTTCAGAAGTTTGGCTTCCAAGCCAACTGCCAACAGCATCGAATCAAAAGTGCAACCCATAGTCTCTGCCTCAACACCCCCACCACCACCACCACCCCCTCCACCACCATCTGTACAGCAGGAGAAGCCTAAGATTGTCAAAGCTACCACAGTCGCCCCAAAGCCAAAGTCCAAGTCAAGATTTGAGCCAGTCTTGGACCCAAGGGAAGAGCTCATGATTGCAATTCGTGGCTTTCACGGCAGAGAAGGTTTACGGCCAGTAAGTTCTGTTGATAGGACAAAGAGGGGATGTTCATATGTTTGGAGATAAAATGCTTGCTCCTCATGCCAGTATGATTTTATCAATTCTCTAAGCCTTTCTAGTTCACAAGGTAACAGAAACTCAATCACTGTACTCCCCCCCCCCTAGGGCAGTGCTACCGACTGAAGTGTCTTTAGGCCATTCTCAAAGGGGGGGGGGGGATATTTTAACATGTTCTTATGCACAGTAGAATTGTAAATGGGCTGATTTATTAATATCATACTCATACTGTCCCGGAACAACGTAAGGGGAACTGCTTCTTTTTCTTTCCTCATCCTTACTATCGCCTTTTTCCTCTACTTCTTTTGTATGTTTGTCACTCTCTTTTGAACTGCTATTTCTGGGGTGCCTTGATAGTCGAAGCAGACTTTGCGCTGTTGAGGCTAGAGAGGTGAGCAGAGTAAGCCTAGTTCCCCGTTTGGACTTCTCTGTTGACATTTACCCCTTGGCGCTCATATGACCTGATGCAGTTGCGAGCGCCGTAAAAACCTTACTAAAACTAAACTAAGCTCAATCACTAGCTCAGTTGGTGTCTGATCGGCTATAATTCAAGCAACCATTGTTCAAATCATGTAAAGTTTTCATGGCTCCACCCTCAATTAGCTCAGTTCTATTGGCATTTGTTTTGAACTGTTATGTTGTGAGAACAAGCACTTAAAACTTGAAAGTTCTTTTGGAAAAAGTGAAGTGAACACTCTTCTATTTTTTTTTTCTTAGAATATGTAAGATTCATAATATTTGTTTGTTATTTCATCATTTCTTAAAGTGTCAATTCTGTGAATTTTGTGAAAGTTTTGGGGTGTTAGGTTTTGTTTTTTTAAGGGATGGCAAGTATTTCTAACATTTTTCTCTATTATTAGAATTCCACAGTTTAAAAAACGTTTGGCAAATGGTTCTCTATAAAGTACAGGACTGTTCTTATTCTTTCTATATATATGAATTAAGATGAAACAGACACAGATTTGTGCCCATCCCCTGACCTTTCTCTTTCTTTCTCTTTACCTTTTACAGGTTCCTGTGACAAAAGCCAAATGGGTTCACAGCAATCGGTTGTGAAGTTCTGCAGTTCTGCTTCACCCACAGAGGAATAAAGGAATACTTGAATAGATCTATATTGCAGCCAAAATCAAAGACGGAATATTATAAGATGACTCATTTCAGCCTTCTCGACCTTGTTAACTTCTGTGACAAGGGACCATTAGTCATCAGCAAAAGGATGTAAGAGTGTATTTTTAAAATTTTCAATTTGTCCTTTCACTACAGCCACATTTTTTCGATGACCTCATGATTGCAATTAGAGCTTACAACAACACTATTGTTTGCTCTAAAGCATTTATAATCATTTTGTTATTTCCGTGAAAGATGAATGGAAGAAAAAAATAAAGGAGGATTTTGGTCACAAAATCACGGGCCCACTAATTTATTAGGGAAAGAATTTGCTCCGAGTCTGTGAACAAAATGAGCAGAGAATTAAAGTATAAACAAGGGTTTTTTCATTATTTGATGAAGAACTTCTTTTCCTTTCTATGCATGTAAAAGGATAATCCTTCTTACGCTATTCAAGTGTGTATATTATATTTTATGCTTCCTATTCATTTTCAAACTATGTTTATATATATATATATATTTATGTAAGAGAAAATGTATATGAGTCGTGACGCAATGGAATCTAGAGCTCATCAGTTTAAAAAAAATTTAATTAACGATTTTCAGTAAAATCTACACCAAACAAGTGTTTTTAAAAGGACATTTAAAGCTAAAAAAAAAATTGAATGAAAATTGTCAACCCGAAGGAAAAATAGCCAGTTTCTTCAATTTCATTATTTTAATGAGCGCCTGATTTCACCACGAATCCTCTTTTATATATTTGTCATGTACATAAAAGGTAAGAAGAAGAACTGGAGGGAAAGGAACATTTTTCAGCAAATATGAGAGACACGCTGAAAAAAAATGTTGTTCTGACTTGATGTATTTTAGATATTTAAACTTATAGAACAATATATAATTTCTATTATGTAAGCAAATTACTGCTTTGTTTAAGTGTTGGTAAGCTCTTTCTTAGGTGATAGTCTGAAGAAACTAGACATTAGCTCTCTCATAACAAAATCTTACCTTCCACCATAGTGTTCATTAGTTATTAGTTGTGAGTTGCTGTTTTTTTTAATTTTTTTTTTTCAGTTTTGAATAAACTCTAGCACCATGTGCATGTTTGCAGTAAAGTATAATTATGATGCTTGTTAAGGAAGAGGAACTGCCTTTGATGGATGTGGTTCTGCCATGTCCTGTTCAATAAGTAAATACTTATGATTCCATGCTTTGATGTCAGTCTCTGAAAATCATGCAGCAGATATATTTATTATATATATTGCTTTTGTACATACACCAAATAGTTATGTAATCAGTGAAGATTTTGTCAAAATACATGTACATATTCAGTTGTTTATCAGGAATATTTTGTTACTTTCAGTATTCATTCTCTTCACCCCCTCCCCCACCTTGCTGCTTCTCATATAATAATCATTGTACTTACCTGCAGTTGTCAGATATGCTTTTTTTTCAGTTCATCCCAGCTTCTATTTATCTTAACAATTTTAGAATGAAGGTGGATCTTCCAAGGCATTAAACAAAAAAAACTGTTCAGTCTAAAAACAGAAAATGCGGCATACACTTGAAATTGTTCAATATGGCCACGCATTGTTGAGGAGATAAGTGTTTATCTTAGACATGTGGATGTCTTTAATAGTATCATTATGATATTCAAAAGATGCAAGGGGGGTAGTGTGGAGGGGTTGTTTGTAAGGTGACTGTCTTGGATATGTGGCCATCAGAGCTGGTTCGACTGTATTTGAAATGGGAAGTTTTATTTTTGCTCTAGTGATTTCATTCTTGGATCATACCTCTCTCTGACATACATTGGAGAGGAGGCAGCTTGCACTATATAAACCCTGAAAATCTCACTACACACTTGATACAGTACGCTATTATAGAAGCACAGGCACCAGTAAATGGTGTGTAGACTGAGGGATTAGTAGAAAAAGGCAAGCAGGTGAGTTTTAGAATACAGTCGAACCTGTGTAAGACGGAATCGCAAGGGAGCCAGAAAAAAATTCCATCTTAGACATTTTCCGTCTTAAACAGGGGAATTTAGGGGGATGGTGATGGAGGGGGGTTTCAAAGGCCCAGCCAGTGGGATCAAGGGTCGCTCGTCCGGTTGCAAGCGATGGTCAAAACTTCACACCTCTCAAGTGCTATCCTCTCTGATAATGACATGCGTCCGTCTTACTTATCCAATTACCACCAGTGGTTGCATTTCATAGGACCACTGTTTGACCCATTAAAAACAGAAACATTTGAACATCATTGCTTCCACCCTTAGCCCCACCCATCGGTGTAACAAGCACAGTCAACCAATACCACCCCTCACTGCAATGTGACAAGGATTCAAGGAACTCTTTTCTGGGATGGCTGTGCGTTCAGGGCATCAGGCATTGGTCAAAGTAATTTCATACCTCTGGTCCCTGGCTACCAATGAAAGTTTCTGTGCTGGCGGACCACTCGAGCACTAACACAGGCTTTTGTGTGATTTCACATCTTCACGACCCTGACCATCTTCATCACTCAGGGATCACATAGATGGGGTAACCTCTACCCCCATATTGCACCCCTACTCCCCTTATTTGCCTGCCAGCATGGCGTTAAATTTAGAACTGCAGGAACCAAACATGCAAGTTTTGTTTCAAATCAGCGCTGAGTGGGCAAAGCATTTAATTTTTACGCCTTAGGTAAAACTCTCGGAAGGGAGTGGATTTTTCTTTCCGTTTTGGCGTTGGACAAGTTTCCGTTTTATACAGGTAATTAAAGAGGAATATACCAAGGGGGGAGCGGGGAGATTCCGTTAAGACAGGTTTCCGTTTTACACAGGTTTCCGGTAAGACAGGTTCGACTGTATATGTGGCCTTGTGTTGGAACTTCCGAGGAGGTTTGAGAGATGGTCAAACCTCAACCATACATCTGTGATTCGTCCAGTAAACAGTGATACAGATTTATGACGTTTACCTTGATAACTGACCGAACCATCACTGGCATTCATCACATCTGGTTCCATCCCCCCATTTTGCCCCACACTCCCCATCTTCCCCCTTTTCATTCCAATAGATCAGTGGAGGCAGCCAGGCCATTATCATGTTCCTGTGCAGTCCAGACCTAATGGGTTCAAACATGCAATTGTCCTGACCATATTATCATAGATGTAAAAGTCAGTCTGATCTTTTTTCTCAAAATCTGAAAAGGAAGGAATTGGAAAAAAATCATAGGATACCATGTTTTTTCACAACAGTTTCGTATATTTTTGCAGGTTGTGTTTTCATGTGTTGCAAATGTTCTTATGTTCTACATAAACAGCATGTACTGGCTCTGAAATTGTAATTATATATAACAAAATACTCGTGAATTGTACAAAGTTATTTGAAATTCAGTAATGCATTTGATGCATTCGTCAGCGTAATTGTTTAATTAATGATGCTGTGCTGTACACATCTAAAATATTTAAGTTCACCTGGTCTCTTTCAATGAGGTTTGCACCAATGAGGAAGCTGAAATTTGCTTCACTTTCTCCTTTCTTGCTGACAGACTTGCAGGTTCACTGGAGATTGTGAAAAAAGATTTCGTGTGTACTTTAGGGATAACATCCTGCCTTTTTGGTGTTGTTTGGCTTGTGTTGAAAAAGTGTTTAGGCCTTCTGTGAAGTTCACTTTTGTGAACTGGCGTATCTTCATTTATAATATTGATTATGAATTTTGTCTCCCATAGGGACTCCCTGTATGGCATTCGATAATAACTGATGTAAATTTTGCTCATTCTTGTGAACAAATGTACACATCTGTAAGGCTGTAAAATAATATAACTATTTTATATATGAAGAATATGTCTTTCATGTTTCTGAGCATCATTAAAAAGAAAAACAAACATTTATGTCTGCAAATCGTAACTGGTTTACAGTGTTATATAATATATTAAAGTCTCTTTTTCCCTCTCTCTTTCTCTCTTTCTTTCCCCCTTGCTCCCTTCGTCCTCTCTCTCTCTCTCTCTCTCTCTCTCTCTCTCTCTCTCTCTCTCTCTCTCAGAAAAAATAATAATTGTAGTTTACCTAGCTTGATGTTAGTTGCAGCTGTGCAATATCTGACCCAAGATGATTTCAAAAATGGCTTATCTCAGAATGTGAACAATTGGTTTTGTAGAAATGTCAGTCACCTTTTGAGTTGTTGAATACATTTATTATACAAAAGAAGGTGCTATGGTCGAAAACTAAGAACAAACGATGTGTAGTTCAATGTCTTCATCAAGGTATTTGTATTGATTTCTTCATATCAAGACTCAAATTGGAATTAACTTTGTAAAAAGAAATTTTAAAATGAATGGGCGAAGTGAGAAAATATTGCCTTTAAGGGTGTATTGCTTGGAAATTGGAAGGACTGTAACAAAATTGACAATTTTATTTAAACTCACATCACAAGAGGAAGGGGGAAATGGTGGCTGCACAGTGAGAAAGAGTAACATGCCAATATATGTCATTGTATGTGAGTCCGAAGAGGTCATATCAAAAGTAATCTACACATAAGGCTAGTGGCTCTTGAAAGAGGTACTAGAATTTCAAACTAACTCAAGTTATTTGTTAAAATACTTGAAGTGATCTTGTATGTAACAACAACAATGTAGAAGACCACCGAACAAAATTAATTTTGGTGCTTTTAGCAATTACCTCAAAATGAACATGATCGCTTCTGGCTCTCTAACAATGACATGTGAGCATGGGTGTATTTTTTTTCCAGTCACTTTTGGGTTAATATATATAGAGAAAATAATAGAGAAAATAACAATATTTATAAAAATCTGTATCTGTGTTTCTATTATGAAAACAGTCTTGAGGTCACAATGAAAGTAAAATGTATACTCTACACAATATATACATTTTATGTCGATGCTGAAGAGATGGTCGAATGAGAAATGTCTGATGTGTTCTGCTTGCAACACTTCTACCAAGCAACCAGTGGTAAAAGCGAAAGAAAATACAGTAGTGCTCTTCATGTGCTTCTTTCATTAACAACCTTTCATTTTCTATTTCCAATATTATTTTCTTTTTCTTTTTTTTTTTTGGTTGTTTTTTGTTGAGCATGGTTTATCATGAAAATTAGTGGTATCTAACAGTAGGATGTCACCATTTCATGATTCATTGACTTCGTTCATTATGTACTGTTTTGACCTATTCTTCTTCCTACATTCTTTGATAGGTCCCATTTACCTTGTAATACTATAAAATAATATGCAAACTATTTATAATTATGGAACAGATTTGTAGTCTATTAATTTCTCTAAAATATTGTACATTCCTTTACAGAGAGACAACTAATCTGTCAACTCATTATTGGTACATTATGAAATAAAAGTATATTTGCTATAAAAAAAAAATATTTAAAAACGTGTTGGGTTTGTTTTTTGTTTTTTTTACTATTGTTTTATGATCTCTGTTCTGTTGGGATTGTCTAAAATTCTTGATTAATCAAATATTGTTTTATTGGGCAACTGCTCCTGAGAACAGGGTTGTGGGGTGGAAGAAAATAAGTAAGAATAAGAAGAACAATTTTCTAGTACCGATTCCATAAGATGAAGGAGAACGACTTTCAAGTTCAAAGATCCCGAGTTTGCACAAATAAAACAAACTGAAATAAAACTTCTTCCGCCAACTTCCACAAAAAGCCCCGCTGGCCCGAAAGAGAATAGAGAATGGTAGACCAAGGGACATCACCGGGATCAGACTCTTTGGCAATAAACATAAGCATGGATTACTTCCCTTCCAAATCATCCTGTTAAAATCGGTACACTCGTTTTCCAGTCACTTGACAACAGCTGTGCTCCATAACATTTTCCTAACTGAAACCTGTCATAGATCTATATGCTGTGAGTATGGCTTAGAAGTCAAGCAGTGAAGGCTTGTATCAATAGGAGATTTCTGCCTAGATGTAACAGTTTGTAGGAGAGAAGAGAAGCACGTCAACACACTTGAGTCATTTGGTGCAAGAAAAGATAAAGATCGACAAAAACTGAACAGAGAAGGAAGAAGCAGGGCTTACAGAAACGCCCTCCAATCATCTGCAAAATTTAGGGAAACTAGTAAAATAATTGGCACCAAAGATCATTATTGTGATGTATAACTTGTTCACGGTCATCTTTCTGCGGTTAAAACGGGATAAAAACCAATCACTTTGTTAAATTAATCTTCTCGGGTCTTGAAGTTGAAGTTGGATGACCAAGAGAATCTAAAAGTCCTTTTATAAAGGCCATAACAAATTAATAAGGTCCCCCATACATTTTCTTTATATTAGCCCTGAGTTGGTAAAAAATTATAATTGGGGATTTACATCATACTTGGAGTTTGCACTCATTTCGTCATCTTTTGCAAGAACAAGAATTTCAACCCCGAAGATCCAAGGTGTAACAAAAGAGTAACAAACTCAAACAAGAAGGAAAGATAAGGACGATAGATGTTTGATAGGAAAGAAGGCGCAAACCACACCAGAGAACCCGCCAGCCACCCACCATCATGTAGATAAAGACCAGGCCTGCTTTATGAA